ATTTACAAAACTACATTTTCATTGTATTCAAATATATATATAAAAATTTTTTTTATATATGTACACACATACATTTTTTTTTCACTTTTACATCCGTTAGTTTGATGGGTTTAACCACAAGTGATTCAAGTCTCATTTAATTCTAGACTGAGTTGTCCAAATAGTGTTTGAATACAATGAAAATGTATTTTCTTAAATCTGAGGAATCCAGTCACGTTATAGATAAATATTCTCTCCTGGGCTTTTAGTATTTTTCACTCAAGGGCTCTGATGTTGAGACTATTTGTGCAGCTGTTTGCAGGGTCAAGGTACAAAACCCACAACATCGATCGCAGAGATGCATGTGAACTGTGCAGAGACCCAGTTTTTTAATACTGCCCTTTTCTTACAGCAAATTTATCATTTGACTGCTGATATATATATATATATATATATTTTCCGGCCTTGAGTTGAGTGCAGGACAATCCAAGAAGAATATGTTTATTAAGTTGTCATGTCTTGTTCTAAATGTTATGTTTAAATGATTCGGTATGGTAGGTCTTGATCTTGCAGCCATCTGCACAGTGGCATCCACTCTTGTACTGGAAGCCATATTTTCAGCTATTTATCAGGTAGATTTGAGCTGGAAAAACAATTAAAAATTGTTCAAAAACTATATATATATATATATATATATATCTATATATACTTTTTTTATACAGGTAGTCTCATTGAACCACAAGAACTTATTTTCAAGAGAGACCTGTTTAGGGAGCCGATGGGGGTTAAGGGCCTTGCTCATGGGCTGAGAGTGGGGCAAATGAGGGTGGGGGCAGGTGTGGGTGCTTCACCTACCCTACCCAGATTTTTTTGATGTTGTCGGTACCGGGGCTTGAACGGGCGATCTTCTGATCACAGGCCCACCTTCTTTAACCTCTGCGCCACCACTCCCCAAATAATATACAGACAGACATCATTGCTAGATGCTAAAACAGTTTTAAGCACCTTAACATTTGCTCCATTGCTTTATTGATTTAGTTTTATTGCACTTAGTTGCATACCATGTTTAGGGTCAGTTCTGTGAAGTTGCTGGATGTTGATACAAATCATGAAACATTATAAAATCTGATTATTTACTAGTGTCATGTGACAGAACACTTGAATGAAACAGGTCTTGATATCAGTAACGGCAATAATTTTACAGAAATTGCTAATTTTGTTTTTTATAGGTCAACAGCAGCTTTGAAAATCCTAGTAAAAACTACCGGTAATTAGTTTTAATTTATAATGTTGCATATTCATATTTATAATAAAAGAAAAAAATATATAAACAAAGTTTAACCTGGACTCTAATCCAAACAATGAAAACAACTTTTGTAAAGGTAAATGTTTTAGAGTAAGACACTGAAACATCTCCTCACTGCAAATCTTCGCCCGCAGCTTTCATTTCCACAGCAGCCGCAGCAATCATTGTTCTTCAAGCCCAGGAAGACCAGAGCTGGAAAGATCATCTGCCACCAACACACACACACACACACACACACACACAACAAATTGACCAAAAGGTGGAAATATTAGTTTCCTGACTGCATGCAGAATGTCCCACTATGTTCAAAAAAACATGCAATATCGTTTAACATGTCATGCTTAGCAAATTAAATAATTTTTTACTGCCATTTTGTTTTAACAAATACACAATTACAATATTTTTAAAACATGTTTAATAAAGGCACACATATAAATTATAAACTGGTTTATAATTGTGTATGCTTTAATAGCATTACAATGAAATTACTCATTTGGGGAGAAATTATAGACATTTAACCCATGCTGCTACTAATGTATCAATAAAAAACATTTTTTTTAATGATATAGATAAAATGAGCATCATCACATCAATTCATTTATTTATGTTGCATCCTTCACGAGTTCAGTTTATCAAGAAGACACATAGTATTTTTCCTAAAACTTACCAGCACTCCTGATCCCAGAATGCCTCCAAAGAACCAAACCTGCTTTGTAACGTATTCGCTGTCCACAATGTTTCCACCTGGGAAGAAGAGCAGGATGTTGCACAGCACGCATACGATTGACAGAGGCATCAGGGTGATGCCCAGACATTTGGCAAAACCTCCCGAACACATTTTGAAACTGAAGCGTCAACAGCCGTAGACAGCAAGAACTTCTGCAGGTGAAGTATTCTGTGAATTTTAAAACTCCACTGAGAACTGGTCTTTCAGTTAGACTGTCTAAAAAAAACCTTGTACAGATGAGACCTAATAGAGTCCAGTCTTAGTCCATTTTAGGTGGGTTACGCAATAGAATGGGAGATGCAAATAGAAACACAAAACTTTCCACTGGTTGGTTTGGACCTAAGATCGAACTCCACAACAGCTTTTGGAAAGTTGTCCTTTAATCCACTGAGTGATGTCGCCTGCTTCACCTGCTTCTGAGGATTATCACAGCTTCATTTGAGCTTTTATAGCACCCTGCCTCTTTTTATGGGTGATCTCATGGCTTCACTTTTACATCAGCCAGCTGTAATATGGCAGGATTACACACATCCACACACACACTTACACAAAGTGCAAACACACATGCACATGCTTGTGGCAGCATACAAAACTCACAGAGGGTCATAAACGCAGTAATACATGGCTGTGTGTGTGCACAGGCACAGCAGTGAAGGCACAGTGGTTAATATTCTACCATGTGGCATGTTTATATAGAGATAGAAGAGGAAGTGACACACAGAGGGGTACTCATGGTTGATCTGTACCTACATACTCAGTTAATCAGGAATGTTGCACTGACCCATGTGAATAATTCATAAAAGTTTTATTAAAATACCTTTGAGAGGATTACATTTTGTTTTGTTTAGTGCCTAGCCTAGAAATCAGTAGATGAATTTGTACAATATGCATCTTGCTTGATATATTTTCTAAAAATGAGAAATGGCAGGGAAGGGGTGAGATGAGCTATAGGAGTGACCGATGAAGGAATCTGTCAGTGGAGGTGGGACTGCATCAAGGATCGGCTTAGAGCCCCTTGTTTGCTCTGGTGCTGGACAGACAGATGAGGTCAGGCAGGAATACTTGAAGAGGGAACAGCCGAAACAAGTCGATACCATTAAAGAAACTCAGTTATCGACATATGGAAAGAACGACCTGTGACCGTTAGGTACTTTGTTTATTCTCCTCAAAAAATGCGTGTTGTAAATCTACATGAGAAAAATATTGTAGCTGTAGGTTTGAAATCTTAGACTGTACATCATGTTTTGTTTTTTTGAATCATTAAAGTCCGACAGGTTTATCTTAAGCAAGTTTTATTGCACACATTTACTTAAAAAATAAACTTTTCAATAAATGATTTCATTTGTGAATACACTCCCAATTCATTTTTTTCCCCTGATTTGATAATTTTGTCTAAGTGAAACAAAGCACCAGATCTTCTCAGATTATGGCTTGATTTGAACACCTGTCTTTATTGGAAATTAGTAAGAAATATCACAACCAAATACGACTTTTTATATTCACTGCATAGACTGCAGTAAGTTGTAAACTTTTTTTCAGGAGCACTTCTGAATGCCACACCACCAGTGGGTTTCAGTTTGTTGCTGCCTCCATAAATAAAACTCAGTCTTTCAGGCCAATATCAATATTGTTATTATTATTTTCATTAAACAACTATCCCAGGCAATAGAAACTATCACTTGTTGACAGTTCAAAAGACAGCATCATCAGAGATGAGATTCATGCATACGGTATGTGGAATTTTACCTTTTGTCATTAAAAACAAAACAAATAAAATGTAGTCTATGATAATTGCATTTTTCTTATTATAAAAATGATATGGTCCCTGAAAAAAAAACCTGACTGAATCACTTCCTCTGTGTTAAAGCACAAAATGAATTTCTTTCTCACATCTTCTCCACACTTTTTCAAACGCTTCATTAGCAACAATATACTTAAAATTTACATGTAGGCTTAGTGTGAAAAAAAAAAAAAACTTTTTTTGTGATCAGAAATTCAAACATATGTAATTTCTAAACAGTTCTGACATTAAGTGAGGTGTAAATGTCTAAACTGATCCTATTTTTGTTAAAGTTGTTGACAAATTTAAGAAGCCAATTTTCACAACTTTGATAAAAAAAAAAACTTTAAGAGACAAGTATAAGCTAGTACCTCATAATAATATTCTTCAAATAGTATTTCACAATTATGATATGTTAGGTAATAATTTGTAAAAGTAATCTACAAAAACATTTTCCTGCAAAAACAAGCGAACAGGGAAACCTGATCGATGCGCTCTGCAATCTCCTTCTGGAGGCTGCCCCGTTCAGTCAATCATAATCAATACCAGAGAAATCGACCGGAGAGCTTGCGGTCTGTTTTCCTTCTCGTTGCTGGGATTTGAGCAGAATGGGCTCGGACTTGACTTTCTCCTCTCGCCGGTCTCCTGTGGTGTGTTTACACGGCTGCGTGGCCTCCAGTCAGCCTTTGGCTTCCACCGTGGGACTGGGTGAGTGGGCAAGCTTCAAAAGCAAATAAACGTGCAAACAAAGAGCACAGTTTCCACAAAAATCTGCAAAATTTCCTGAAAGAAGAAGAAAAGCACGAGGAAGAAGAAAAATAAAACTAAGAACTTTACACTGTGAATATGTAGGTTAAAGCTATTGTGAATTATTAAATCTAAACATATTCCTTAAAGTTGTCTTACTTTTAGTAGTAATATATTTTTGCATTATTTAAGCAGTTAACTTTAACATATAAATATGGGTGAATGAAAATTAGTTTATGGTCCACACAATGTGGAGCTCATCAGAATTTAAGCATTAAATATTTTAAGTACCTTTCTCACAAGATGTGTGGATATAATCATCAATTTTACACTTATAAATATTAAACTATCCTGGAGCACTATAATAATAAAATATCAGTGCATTTGGGTTGAGCCACTAAAAACGATATAAAAAGGAAACAGATTATTGTAGAAATAAAGTTCCATTGTGCCAAAAGGCCAAATTGTGCTTTATAAAGCGTCAGAATGTCATCATGTTTATTATACACCGTTACCTGTCGTAGTCCTGTTTTTGTGTCCAGATGTCCTTAAACGTGGTGGAAATGCTGCAGATGCTGCAGTTGCAGTAGCAGCAGCTCTCGCAGTAACCGAGCCATGCAGCACCGGACTTGGTGGCGATGCTTTCTGCCTGTTCTACGATGGACACACTGGAGAGATCAGAGGGATTAATGGCAGGTTGAGAGTCCACGCTTACATTTTATTTTTCCTCATTCTTGGTCATTATCTGAACATCTTCCTTTGTCCTCAGTGGTCGTTCACCCCAAGCTCTGACCCTAGACTTGTTAGAAGGACGTGGTCACACAGAAAAGGCCCCTCCTTCAGTGTTTGATGCTTTGAATGTTACAGTACCTGGGGCTCCTGCATGCTGGTGTGATGCTGTGCAGTTGTTTGGAAGTCAAAAGGTTTGCTGTTTTTGTGTGTTTTCTGGTTAGACCTACATGCACAGCTGTATGTTTTATGCAAAACTCAGGGAACTAAAAGTCAGTTTACAAAATATTAACATGTTAGGATGAACCCTGTTAAAGTTACCATGTTGACATGTACCACTGGAAATGTATCTTGAATAGAACTCCTTGCTTTGAGTTTGAGGGACATAAACAAGCAAAGGAATAACTTCTAGATGTTTCTTCACCTTCCAAGTTAAAAGGTCTGCGCAGCCTTGAAATCATGCGAAAAATTTAGAAAACACTTTTGAGGTCCGACTACTTTGAAGCAATCCAACACATTGATTTTCTTTTATAGGTCGGGAGAATTTATTACACTTTTGTTAGAAACAAGAACTCGTTACAGTATCATAAACCTGCAAACACAGGAAGCGATAACCAAACTTCCAAACTTCATCAAGGACCAACAGACAAAAACAGCAACACTTCACCTTTTACACAATAAAACTGAAAAAAAAAATACTTCAGCACTTTTTCAACCTGAACAGGATGAACCAAAATTTAAAAAATGAAAAACGTAATATGTGTTATAGAGTCTTAAAGGTGTTGCTATAAAGCTACACATCATAAATACTTTATCTTTAATTTTGTTTATTAAAAACAACGTTTTGATGTTTTGCCTGTTTTAAGCTACCTTGAGCATTAAGTGACTAAATATACTCATTTTCCATAAGTATCTCGTGATTTCAGCTTTATTTGTTTATTTGTTTATTGAAGGATCCCCATTAGTTTCTACCCTTGCAGAGACTGCTCAACATTGCAATTAAATCAAGCTTTTACCACCATACAAAAAGACATAATAAAATGCCAAAGATTAAAACAAAATCAAAACACAAAAATATGAATCAACCATCTCAACAACAACATTTTACAAGCGTCACAAAATGACGTCACAAAATACCTTAAAACAGCAATTTTCAAAGTGGGGGGCTGCTGCCCCCCGGGGGGCCACCAGGGGGTGCTATGGGGGACCCCAGAAAGCTGGAAAGAAGTTTTAAAAAAAGCAAAAATAAAAAAATTGTAATAATAATAATAAAAGTTGCCCGCTAGGGAAATCTGTATCTGTCATTTCCAGATAAACACACATGAGAGAGAGCTTAGATTTCTTTAGTTTTGGTCTTCTGGTCAACAAGTTTTTTTTTTTCCAGTGGGAATATAATACAGTGTTTAAAACATGTTAGTTAATAACATTTTTATGATCAGCAGCTGTAATAATTCATTGAAAATACTGAATAAAAGTTAAAACATTGTACAAGTTGATGTTTCTTTACGTATTTTGTAGCATTGTTTGTGGGTTTGTGAGGGGGGCCTCGGCCAGAAGCTAATGCTGTTTGAGAACTCTTGCCTTAAAACACACAAGGATTAAAAAGTAATCAATTTTAAAGTTAGCAGCAAGCAATCTTCATTTCTAGTAGAAATGTATCCGTTCCATCAATTCAATTTTATTTCATTATCTACTATAGATTTTTTAAAGATTATTTTTTAAATGAATTGATCAGCTATTAATGTATTTACAAGTTCCAATAAGAAATTGCTCCATACACAGCTGTTTTTTTAGAGCACTAGCCCTAGGCAGAGGTAATATAAACGTAACAAAGTAAAAATTGTTGTTTTAACTCAAGAAACGGCTTCCAAACTCACAATTTATAAATCATAAATGAGCCAAAAATAATAAAAATCAACATACATCTAAAGCAGATCCGATAGCCTCGTGTGAATTAGAATGAAAGTTGTTTAAGGTGTAAATATGTGTATGAATAGCAGTATATGTAAATTTTTATCAATTTAAAATAATGTCACTGTACCACATTAAGAGTAGAGATGAATATATTAAAGCTCATGCATCACTTTGAATTGTTTATTATTATTATATTTTTCTTGTACAAAAGAAATAAAAATACAATACATATTATCTAGAATAATTTGACACTTTAATAAGGCTCTGTTTATGATCATGTCGTGTTTTTTTGTTTGGAAGATGCTCATAAATAAGTGAAAACTGCTTTTAGTTCCCACATATTTCCTCTCAGTACAATGACCGACTCTTCCTGCTCACCAAGATTTCCTGTTTAAAAAAAAACACGCGTTTCCTCTTCCTGCTCTTCTAGCTGTCCTTGCAGGAGGTTCTGGGTGGGGCAGTGGAGCTGGCAGAGGAGGGGTTTCCTGTTGCTGTGGTAACAGCACACCACTGGGAGAACTGGACAACGGTTCTGAGGAGTAATGGGAAGGACTTAGGTGAGGACTTGCTGATTGACGGTCACGCACCCAGATGTGGACAAGTTTTCAAAAACACGTCATTGGCTCAAACCATAAAGGTAAATAAAAAAAGAAACAAAACATGCGTATATGTCATGAATAACACTAGACATTTTAACTTTTTATTCAAACTCCTGTTTTTCAAAACTATGACGTTCTTGGAAAGTTAGACCGTCTAACCAAGCAGCATGCAGGAGTCCCCCATTGCTAAGGGATTTGAATTGTGAAGGTTTACCACGGTGAATGTAGTTTTTGGTTAAGGGGGAGACCATCTTGGATTTTCACTTGTGAACCCAATTTTTGATGGAGACCTTTATTGCACCTTGATGCAGCCACAAACCAAAATGCAAATGGATGTTGGCTTGTTGTTTATTTTTTAAGTTCTCCAGCTCACACAATTTACATACATGTACAGTATATTACATATATATCTGCAGCCATCTTAGATTCTGATGTGCCAGCCCAGTTTTTGCTGGTGACCTTTCTTATATGTTGATCCATCAACACAACAAAATGGAAGTTGGTACCTCACTTATTTTTCAAGTTATGATGTTCACAACATGGATGGACAGCATGGTGGCAGCTATCTTCGATTTTTATGTGGTAACCCAATTTTCAAAACAAAATTTCCTACACGCAAATGTAGCCAAAATGGAAGTCGATACCGCCTTTATTTTTTTAAGTTATCATGCTCACAACTTGCACAGATGGACACACGGAGGGTATTTCCAGTTCCTCCCCTTCGTTCCGTGAAGGGGACAAAAAAGATATTCAGAGGTGAAAATTTTGAATAAGGGGACAGTGAGTAGAAGTGAATAAATAGTGATAAAGTGAAAATTGCAGCAGAAATAGAAGTTAAGGATTAAAAAAAATAATAATTTTAAGACAGGTGGATTACAGCTCTGTGCTATGTTTATCAAAAGTCAAACAAGTCAGTCGACTGTGGCATTCTTTTCTTAGACAGTTGACTGTAAGTCTATGGTCAGCAAAAAGTAATTTCATTTTGTGGCGTTTCAGCATTGCCTTCATCTTTCAGACCAAGAAGCTTCACCAGTCTTTTATTTAATAATGTTAACATTAAAACACACATACTTAAAATTATAACATAAAGGGAGTAGTGACGGAGAGACTGAAGCATTGCCCAAGCCTAGAAAAAGACAGCTCCAGTCTGATTAGAGATCTATGGGATACATTTTAATAGACAATATGAGCAATTTTTATTCAGTACTTACATGATTCAAAATATGTCCTGACATGAGAACATGTTTAGTTCACATGTGCTTGCCCAGATGAGCTATTATAAATGTTTGTGATAAGTGATAAGTGTTTGGCTGCCTAGGATGAAACTAGACAATATTTGAAATATTCTCCTGTTATTTTATTCAACACATTCAAAAATCCAGTTTCAGAAACGGTTAGGAAAAAAAACTTTAACATTTTGTTTTATTCTTTAAACTACCATAGTTAAATTCCATTCACTATAAATAAAAATAAAAATCTGACTCCTGCAGAGTAGAAACTGATTGTGACATTGCTACATTGTTGCAGCAATCCTAAAAATATTCTTTAAAATACATTTTAAACAATGTCATTCTGACATTATATCTTTATACTAGTAATGAAATTGTTTAACACTTTCTTGAAACCACATTCCTGTTGAATATAGAACTTGTAACTATGATTGTGAACTTATTTTAGGGTAGTGTAATATTTGTAACACTGCCCCTCTGCAGTATCCTTTGCACAAAACTATGACTGAAGTCACTTTGAGTGTTTGTCCACTTGTGCATCACCTCTAAAATACGCATTGACTAAATCTTAGTAGTTACAAGATAATTAGGTCATAATGCACTAAACCAGGAAGACAGTCAAGAATTCCCAGAACAGCTTTGCACATACACAACGCACACAAGTCAACCTTCTGAAATATTCAAAACAATGGCATGAGCTCAGCCACGATGATGTGGGGGGCCATGTCACGGCGGTAACAGTGTGTCATTTCCTTATTCACACTCACACACTTACTCACACACTTACTCACACACCCTTTGATTCTTCTGATTAAAGAAATTTTTCACAAAGCAGTGGCCAATGGATTTCTGCCGCATTACGTCATCCTTATCATATTTTAAATATTGATTAAAATTAGACGACTACAATGCAGACAACGCTTTCATAGGTTTATTAGTTAAACAATTGATCATTGCCTCTGCCAGCTGTGTAACATAAATGAAACCATCAACAGGAGCTTGGTGAGCATGGCAAGCCAGCTTTCTACCAGGGCAGAGTGGCCCAAGCCATTGTCGATGTCGTTAATGAGAATGGAGGTGTCATGACTCTGGAGGACCTCAGCAGCCATGATAGTGAGGTCATCACCCCTATAAGCACAACATATAAGGTCAGCAGTCAGAGATGCTTATTATATCTTTGTTTTAATAACGTGCTGAGCAGACTGACTGACTTTGTTGAGGTTTCAGTGTGTGCGTCTGTGGGAGCTTCCTCCCAACAGTCAAGGACTGGTTGCCCTGCTCCTCCTCAACATCCTGGAAAACTTTCCTCAGCTCAAAGGTAAAACACTGACTCTGTTGAGATAAGGCTAATAATAGATATATAGCTTCTAAAATGGACAGCGGAATGAATTATCTCAAGAACACTGTGAAAGTATTGTGACATTGTTGCTAGAAGAACAAGTATTTGTGTACTTTTTGTCCTCTAATTATAGTAGCTTTCTTATGGAAAGAAAATCAGGGTAACTCTAAAAATTAGACCTACAATACCAATATGGAATCATCAGATTAGATATTAGCTCTTTTTATTCTAAAGTAGCAAAACATTTTATTCTATGAAATATATTCACTGTGATATTCGCACATCCGAAACAAAGTGGGATTCTTTGTCTTGCCTGAGGACAGTAGAGCAGTTGTCTGACTTGTGGACAACCCTATGGACCAAAATCTGTCCAAGCCTGACATGAGAAACAAGAACAAGAGCCGGAGCCTTTGACTCTTCAGTGTATGAGGCAGACCCACAGAGGCCTCACCCTGAACCTCACAGAGTAAACAAAGCAGTAGACACCACAGCACACCAGGGGGATATTCATGGTATTATGCAGATGGTTTTAATATTAGAGATGATTGTTGTACATTATTTATACTGTACATTTCCACAGAAATCTCTTTTTTTTTTCTTTTGACTTTATTTTCAAAAGGAAAAAAAAAAAAGTTTACAAAAGTGGATTTTTTTGTTGAAATATCTTAGCTTATTTTATTTCGTCACATCTTTTGTAGCTGGAGGCCATAACAGTTCTGACTATATCCATGTATTTGTGGAGGCTGTGCGTTTGGCACAAACAGATGCTTTTCGTTACCTGGGCGACCCGGCTCATGCAACCATCCCTTTGGACAACTTACTGGATAAGAGCTACAGCCACCAACAAGCGCAGCACATCAGCATGGACAGGTGTGTGTTCATGTTTGTGTGTGACTGCAGGTACCAGGTGTGTG